ATTACGATAATCGTTGTTTGATTGTTGTCCCGATGCTGAACCGAAACTATGACTTATAATATCAGTAATTCCAGTAGTTTTTAACCATCTATTTCAATATAACCGTCTTGAATGAACTTATCTACATCTTTGTAACGCTGACTATAATCACGTCTACCGCTTTTAGTCCCAGCAACGTATAAAATAGAACCATTTTGATGAGCCCCGTCAGGATTCTCATACGCTATTTATAGTCCTTGCGTGTCCCTTGAGCATGTCTCTGTCCCCGCTAGTTCGTCTCTAACTTCAATATGTAGTCTGCTTCTTGTGTTAGCTGCTTTATATAAACCCCTTCACTTCTTTTTTATGTTTATGCATTATAAGTTATAAAAAGGTTTATAACCGTTTTCTCTAATTAATGAATAATGTTGAAGTTCAAGAAGGTGGATATTGATAGCTATTGCTAGGAACGGGAGTATGCCCCTTTTTCCTTTTTTTTGGTTGGGGTTTCCATATAATCCTCTTAAAACCAAAAAAAGGGCACCCTTTGTATTCCTAGGTTACTCCCGGGTCTAGATTATAGAGTGGATGACAGAGATGTGCAAACCGCACAAAACCAAATCCACAAGCGGCTTCTGTTGTTTGAAACTAGACGTAATGGATGACAAGTTGTAGCGTCAGACATGGCAAGACAAGAAAGGATCGTAAATACCGGTGTGCTTTCATGTCAACTACAGGTGTAAGTAGCACAGGTGCAGAACGGCAAGCAAGAAAAGGACACGCGTGGATCATGGGGGGGTGACCATATGTATATATATATATATATGCACCGTTTAACTATGAAACCCTAAACCCTCAACCCTATATAACCCCTAAACCCTAAACCCTAAACCCTGAACCCGAAGTAGGTCTAGGTGAAAACAAGGGCCGGTACCCATCTTGTGGCTAGCGCCCTCTTGTGGCATCAAGCGCTCTCTGCAAAATATGCAGCCATGCCGCTGGTCGCTTGGGGTTTTAGGGTTAAGGGTTTAGAGTTAGATGAGAGATATCGCAACTGAATGTGTGTTCAAGATTGTTTGGTGTTCTGTTAGGGCCCCAACTCTGGTTTGGAATTTTGGTAATTTGTAACCTTGATAAGCGGTTGCGATATCACGGTTTGTGGATTGCCTTCAAACCACCAGGAGTTGTGACATCCTGCTTCTTGGTGGTGTTAACACCCTCTTCGTTGTGGTGTCCCGCGCATGCGTGGGGGGGTGGGGGGGTGGGGGGAGGGTGGAGGGGGGGTGGAGGGGGGTGGAGGGGGGTGGAGGGGTGGAGTTTCCGGATGTTTAAAATGCTGGTGACACATTTTTCGCGGAATATGTTGAATATGTGTCGCCAGAATTCTGTTAGCACCAAAACCATGACATTTTTGTCCGCAGAATATGTGTCAGTAGAGCTCTGCTAACACAAAAAACATGACACGTTTTCCGCGGAATATGTGTCAGTAGAGCCGTTCTAACACAAAAAAGCATGACACATTTTTCGCGGAATATGTCTCACCAGAGTTCTGTGTTAGCACAGCTCTACTGACACATATTCTGCGGAAAAAATGTCATGTTTCTGGTGCTAAGAGAACTCTGGTGACACATATTCCGCGAATAATGTGTCATGCTTTTTTGTGTTAGCACGGCTCTACTGACACATATTCCGCGGAAAACGTGTCATGTTTTTTGTGTTAGCACAGCTCTACTGACACATATTCTGCGGAAAAACTGTCATGTTTTTGGTGCTAGCAGAACTCTGGTGACACATACTCTGCGGAACATGTGTCATGTTTTTTTGTGTTAGCACGGCTCTACTGACACATATTCCGCGGAAAATGTGTCATGTTTTTTGGATTAGCACAGCTCTAATGACGCATTTCCTGCGAAAAAATTCATGTTTCTGGTGCTAACAGAACTCTGGTGAGACATATTCCGCGAAAAATGTGTCATGCTTTTTTGTGTTAGCACGGCTCTACTGACCCATATTCCACGAAAAATGTGTCATGTTTTTTGTGTTAGCAGAGCTCTACTGACACATATTCTGCGAAAGAAATTTTTTGGTGCTAGCAGAACTCTGGTGACAGATATTCCGCGGAAAATGTGTCATGCTTTTTTGTGTTAGCACGGCTCTACTGACACATATTCCGCGGAAAATGTGTCATGTTTTTTGTGTTAGCACAGCTCTAATGACACGTTTTCTGCGGAAAAAAAGTGTCATGTTTCTGGTGCTAACAGAACTCTGGTGAGACATATTCCGCGAAAAATGTGTCATGCTTTTTTGTGTTAGCACGGCTCCACTGACACATATTCCGCGGGAAAATTGTCATGTTTTTGGTGAAATTTACGAACACTTACCCCCCGATAAGCAAGACTTGGAACCACTCCGCGTTCTCAGCCTGTAAGAGTTTAAGGGGGTTTCAAATTCAGGGATACTTATATTTGCTCCTTGAAACTTACGAACACTTACCCCCCGATAAGCAAGACTTGGAACCTGCAGACAACAACAAACAGGTCTGTCGCAAAACCCCGACCATGAATACATACCCCCTGTAGCGGGGTATGTCGTATGTAGGCCGCGGCCCCGTTACAAGCAATTAATATTGGCACGCGGCCACTTTTTTCTTTCTCAACTATCTCAAAGGGCGCAATGTATAGATCGCAGGCATAATTTCATTGTGTCCTGACGCATCATAGTGTACCAAAGTCTCTGTATCGTAAGCATTGTTCTCTTTGCGCTTGAGTACAGTTTTATGTACTAAGGTCTTTAAGCCGTAAGCACTTTTAACTGGAAAGGGCGAGGAGGATAACTTGTGATAACTATCACAATTTATCATAATTATGATACCTTATCGTAATTATGATGACTTATGATAACTTATCATAATTATGATAACTTATGATAATTATGAAAAGTTGCTTATCATAATCATCGTACCCTGAGATTAAGAACTTAAAGTTTTTCATAGTTATGATAATTTTGATCGGGAAGTTAAAGTTATCATAATTATGATAACTTATGATGGGGAAGTTGAAGTTATTATAGTTATGATAACTTCAGGTTGGTAGTTTGGAGTGAAGGGGTGTGAGAGGAGGGGTAGGAGGGGTTAGGTGCGAGTGGTGTGGGTGTAGTAAATTGTGGGAAGGGGTCGTGTTGAGGGTGATGGGGTAGGGGGTTGGAGTAGGGGGGGAAGGGGGCAGGCTGCAGATGGGACGTAGGGGGCTTACAGATGTGCTTAACTTAAACGTGCAGGGTAATTTCACAGCACGTACGAATGCCAGAGTCTTTCTGAAGCCGCAGCCAAACAGCGACTTTTTCACGCAGGCTGAAAAAAGAACACGCATACACAGATAGCAAAGAGAAGCAAATGAAATAAGAATAATCAGAAATTCGCAGTTCGTAATGGCGTGCGGCTAGGCCTAGAATCGCTGGGCATGAGATTTGTGTGCCATATGTAGGTGTAAATATGTGTTTTTGTATTACGATATTTATATTCGCTCTGTTAAAGCAATAAGAAAAACCCAAAGCTAAATAGACCCTAAAGGCGGCGGGCTCATATATGTATATATACATATATACATATATACATATATACATGTATACATGTATACATGTATGCATGTATACATGTATACATGTATACATGTATACATGTATACATGTATACATGTATACATATATACATATATACATATATAGTGTGTGTGGGTGCTGCAAGCAGCAACATGCTGTGGCACACGGGCGTTGTGGCTTTGCATCTCTGTCCGCGATTATCTCGTCACAGCTCACTGAGTCCAAAAACTCCAAGATGACACGGCTGAGGCTGTTAGGACGGATAAGAAAATACAAGAAGACGATCGTCTCTTGCAGATGCGTCTTTCAGGAAAGTCAGCGTTTGTATGAAGTTAGCTGTTCGCACCTTTGCAGTGCACGCACGCGCCTCCGCGCGCCGTGTCTTGGCATGCTGCCGTCTTCGGTGTTTCTGGGCGTGGCGCCGACTGCAGAGGGTCGTCGGTCTGCCCCACCTCCAGCGGCACCGCATGCCATGCCAGGCCTGGGCGATGAGAGTCTTTAGAGCCTCGAGGATTTCATATGACTCTGCAGTGACAAAAGGAGATCCCGAAGTCCCAGCCTCGCCGACATCACCCGCGGCTGTTTCACCGCGGCAGCCGTGGCTGGGAGAGAAGGCATAAGTGATATTACGTGATTGAAGTGAAGACTCTTGATAGGACCCCATAAATCAGGAGTTCGGCAAGCCGAGGTTCATCATGCCCAATATGGACGCCTTGGTGAGGCAGCAAGGCCAGCATGGATGGCCAGCTCGAAGTGTACAGAAGCCGTCCCACACGTTTTGGGATTCACAAGCTGTGACGGGAAGGCCTTGCCTTCCAGCAGTCCGAGTTCTCTGGCTCAGATGTCAGAAGGCTTCAGGTTCTGGCGCAGCCTGCGGCAGCTCCTCTTTCGGGCGCATCTAGTGGCAGTCCCGCACCCAGCCCAGGCTTTTGCGTGAGCAGTTCATGAAGTTCGCAGAGGCCGGCTCTTCCCCCACTGGAGATCCGCTGCTGTTTTCTTAGTGGGTTTCAGGCCTTCTGCTCGTGCTCGTTAATTTACAAGGTGTACTTCAATCGTTTTTTGCTTCGCATAAGATAGTTCCTCCTAATACTACAGGAACTGGGCGTTCGTGTCCCAGCTTCTCTCCTAATAGCCCTCCTCGCGCGACCAAATCCCGTTGAGTTTTGCTGCTTAGGTGAGATGTGACCACTGCTCACACCCCAAGTTCCCTGGCCCTGACGCGAAAGGGACTCTGTGATAAAGTCAAAGTCAGGTCTTCCTTCGTTCGGGAATGCCGTTTTGACAGCCCACTGTTCTCAAAAAACTAGGGACACAACTTCGACTCACACTTGTGAAGTGTTTTGGTTTAAGGCGTGTTTTCAGCACCCGAATCCTGTAGTGCGTTTGTAAGGTCAAACTGATGAAGCTCTCTTTTTGTCTCAGCCATGCTCAAGGCCTTGCAGAAGTTGCACGCAGGGCTGGAGGAGGTGCGCAGGGGCCTCAGGAAGCGCATAAACTGAGGTTGTGGTCCTATAGTAATCAATATAGTCAATACAACAACGCCGGGCCCGACATGCCTTCGTGAAAGTTGTTGTATGCCGATGAAGCCCGATGGAGTGTAGATGGACACTAAGTTGCATGGGCTTTCATGAGCTTGTATTGTCGCGATTGCTTTGTGGGCATGCAGTTGCCGACTTGCCTAGGTGAGGACCTTCATGTTGACCGCCAGCAGCGGCTCCACCAAAAGGAGATCGCTTGCATTCTTTTCATTTCCGAAGTAGCGCCCGACGGGCTTCGATTGGCTCTGCCTTCCTGGGTAGGCCCTTGGGATATTCTGTATTTTCCCTTATTGGGTTTAAGAGGATCATATTTTTTCCCTCATTCGGTTTAAGAAGGTCATATTCAGGACTAGTTTTCAGAGGGCTTTTTCAGGGGCCCTCCTAGCTTCTCTTCCCGTGATGTTCCAGGAGTCCATGGCCGCTGCTCTCGCATCCGTTCGGAACGAGGACGGGAGTCCAGAGAGACTCGGAGCTTCTCCCCTCCTGTTTTGCTGTTGCTGTGCTTGCAAAAGGGGGCACGTTCTGATCTGAAGGTCCACGAACACATCGAGGAGCGGCTGTCGATCTTGCATCAAGAGGCCCAGTCGTGTGCTTTCGGCCCGGGTCTCGAGCCATTCTGCATGGATGAACACAGCCAAGCCACGAAAGCTCGCAGAGCCAGGCTGGAATGTAGCCTTGCGTTAGAGGGCAAAGGGCGCAAGCTTCGAGCTCTTGATTTTATCACAGGATGAGGGGGGGGATCAATATACAAGCCTTTGCAGCTTCTTTTAAGAGCATCTGGCCCTCTTGGGTGTGTGGCGGGGGTGGGGGGGGGGGGGGGCGGGGTCAATAGTGACCAAATCGAATTGGAGTCCAATATGAAACAAGAACAAGAGCACCAGCACATATGTGTGTGTGTGTGTGTGTGTGTTTCGGGTCTCCAGGCTTTTGTGGCTTTGGGGGGTATTCAGGAATTAGGGGATTTGGAGTCTTAGGGAATTGAGAGCTTAGGGCCTTGAGGGCCTGAGGGGGTATTTAGGGATTTGAGGTGTTGAGGGTGTTCTCGATTTACGACTGCACTCCCTGCTTGGCATTTGATGTAAACACTCCTCTGCTGTCTTGCGTGGGCTTGGCGGGTGGGAGAACATTTCTGAGGCCACGTGCTTTGTTCAGCGAAGTGGTTAAAGTGCAGTGGGCCGGGCTTGGACAGGTGACAATGCGCAGCCGCAGCACTGATGGTGAATTACAGCGGCTGGGTGGCTGCTCCGTGGTCTGCATGTGGCATCTTTAGTTGTCTTCGATTTTTGAGGAGGGATTTGCGAGTCTTAATTACTTTTGTTCATGCTTGCGTGTCGCAGAGGCCTGGACAGCATCACACAGCAGCTTGGAGCGCAGCTGCTGGCTGTGACAGAGGCGGTGCTCGTGTGCTTGCTACGTCAGCTGCCATGTGCTGGCATTCTGCGGGCCCCCTTTCAGGATCAGCGCTCGCTGTCTGAGAACGTGCATGCCAGAATAGCTCAGTTGCAGGACTCCTTCAGCGCCCTGGCCATGAGACTCTGTTGTTATTACTGAGACTCTGTGAGAATGTTCTGACATCTTCAGGTGGTATGGCTGCAAGCCGAACAATGCTCGAGGACTTAGGGGCCCAGGCGAGTTCAGCACCACCTGTATCTTCCGTGCTCCGGTTTCAGCCGTCATCTTGCCACAGCATCAGAGGCTTTTCTGCTGAGAGTACTTCGTGGGGCACAGTGCCGCTGGCAACTGCGGGGAATGGGACGTGCCCATTGAAAGGTGGAGGTGAAGATCCAGGGCGCGCTGCAGACTGGCGCCACGGCGCTCCATGAGAGGGAGGCCGGCAGCCAATGGAATTGTAGCGCTGCCTGTTTTCAGCGATGCTGATGTCATCTCAGCTGACTTGACTTTCTTAATGGGCAGCAGAGCACTGAATTCAAGCTGCAGAGACATGGCACCAGGAGGTGCTGGCTGAGAGGATTCAGAACGTGCAGTGGGAAGCCCAGAGTGCGCTCATCTGCAATGCCCGGTCATGGGGCTCAACGATGCCATGTGAGGCAGTCGTACCAAGCTGTACCAAGTAAGAGAGCAACTGCAGTGAAGCGCTGCGCTGTTATACACGTTCAGATGGCCCTGCTCTCTCCAGGACCGAGGCTGCCTGTGAAGCTGAGCAGTGGAAGGAGCGATTTCGCACCGTGGAGACTGCCTCCCAGCAGCTTTGCGCCGAGACGCTGGCCGTGGAAAGATTAGTGATTAGTCGTGAACGTGCGGTAGTTCGGCATAGCTACCATAGTTGGCACCAAGCACCCTGCAAGATCCCCCATGCGTACTTAGTAAATGCCTCTGGGTGCTGCCTACGCGTATCAGGGCAATATCTGCAGGCAGTTTCTTTCTTTGGGCAGCTACGCCATTTGAGGCCTTATCGCTTCTTGAAAAAATGCTTGGGAGGGCTTCGCACACGGGGATTTCTTGCTGATGGCATTACAGCATGGCGGTCGCTCGACACTGTCGCTTGCTTATTGGGATCTGGTATGACGTGATGGCAGTGTTCACAAGATACACCCACCCACCCAGGCACGCACCCACACCACATTCTCTCTCTCTCTCACACACAACACGACTTTGACTGACACTGACTGACTGAGGATGGCAGCAGAGCACCAGCAAACTCGTATTTCGGCAATCGGACTTGCTACAGAGCTTTCTGAGCTCCGGGATGCACTGGCAAAGGACTTGGGCCACCGCCGTTTTGTTGCAATGTCAAGATGACTCGTGCTGCCTCGTGCAGGAGTCGCAATCCTATCAGGAGTCGACTACTTCAGTGCAACGCTGGATCACGGAGACCATGGCTCTTCGGCAGTCCCTACAAGAGGAGGCCCTGTTGTGGCCTTAAGCGTTGTTGAGTCACCCTGAAGAGATTTGAGGGTCCACAGGCCCCAAATGTGAATGAAAGGTACAAGTTGGTATAAGAGTGAGGATTCCTACTGATGCTTGCTGGTCCGGGTGACCAGGAAGTGGCTCATGCGGCTTTGCACGGCAAAGTGGCCGAGCACGCGACCGAGCTCAAGCGACAGGCCCGTCATTGCTGGCATCGCGTGAACCTCTTCGCCAGCTAGCCCCTCTGACATTCAGAAAATTTATAGGTCCTGTGTCCCACAGTTTGAAGATGCTTGACGCATGATCCTTTCATAGATTTTCATGGACAGGTGGGCGTTTCGAAGGGTCTCGCAGACGCAGCCGCCGAGTTCAAAAGCGGGAAAGATGAGCTCTGGCCACGCAGTTGCAGACATTTCATCTGGTGCCATGCTATGCATGAGTCCCGAGCGACCTGCAGAATCGCGTTTCAAGCAGTTGCAAGCCGGAGGCAAGCCGTCGTGGCGGCGCAAGAGGGCAATGAGCAAACCCTCAAGGAGTGTTGGCAGCAAATGCCGCAAGTCGGAGCCGCCATAGTCTGCCAGATCGCTTCCGCAAAATTGTGCAAAGGACGTCCAGGAGTTGCGGCTTCGCACTCAACATATGGAGGTTCAGCGGTTCGGACAGGCCTTGAGCGAGCGCTGCAGAACCCACGGGCTGAGCTTGTTGCCTCGGATTACCTTGGCATGTTTGGAATGTGCAGGTGTCGAGGCAGATTGAGGAGAGCCTTGGCGAAGTATTCTGATTAGCAATATTACATTGCTAGGCCTGGCTAGTTCAGTATAGTTCAGTCCCGAGCACACGAAGCAGCGTGCGGGCTTGGATGCCGAGGTTAACTGTGCAGCATTCAGCTGCCTCCTCGAAGATCGAGGACATCGAGCAGTCCCACAGCCAAGGACAGAAGGCACTTGCCTCCAAGCTGGACAGTCACGTCCAAAACTTGCTGCTGCTTGACACAAAAGCGTGGCTTGTATTGTGCCGTGCGACGACTTGTGGCGAGACCAGACGCTGCGCGTTCATAGAGCTCAGATGAAGCATTGGGAACAAGAGCTCAGGCAGGCGCAGCAAGAAATACATCATCTGACAGAGCAAAGTGCCCAGCACGATTTCATCGAGAGCCGAGACCAGCAGTCGCTGATTTGCATTTAAAAGCATCTCTTCGAACTTGCGGCTCCGGTCGAGCTGCGATGAAAAGGTATCGGCTGTATGTAACCATGGATGGCGACATCGGAATCTTCCGGCGAAGCGGATGGGGCAAGCACGGTGCTTTAACTGCAAGCCTGTGCAGAAATTTGCCTTTGAGAGATGTCTCTCGAGCAACACAGCACCAGCCGAGGTGGTGACTTCGCAGGGGTGCCGCGTTGGCATGCCGGAGCCATCGGGGACAAGGCACTCTGCTCCGTCAACAGCTCCGCGGCTCAAGCGAAAAGCTCGGAACGGTGCTGGGATTCGTTGTAGGTCTTTGTCGGAGGCCTGTTTCGAATTTCCGCATCCTGTAACAATCCTGTAGTCCATCGGCGATCTCAGGAGAGACGCAGGCATACGAGAAGGACCGGTTCCTGGCCATGGCAAACCGACTTGACACGCAGCGCTAGCTGCCGCTAGCTCTCCATTTGAGAATTAGCTCGGTCCGGTGTGACGTGTGCGAAGCCTGGCAACAAGCCTAGCTTCGCCTTAAAGGAGGAACAACATCTCACAAGTTGTTGGGGACGGGTGGGCAGACATCGACGTTGAAAACGGGACTAGTCAAGACGGCTGGTCTCGATAAAGTCGAAATGATGTCTGATGACCCCAAAGCCGGGTCGGACTTCGGACTGCTCCCCCCCGCCCTGCAGATTTTTTGGCCATGCTATGGCTGTGCCGCAGCTTCTCTGAGATGTCGATGACCAGTCGAGTCAAGGAGTTCGGAGTGCTGCTGGGCCAAAGGCTCTCAGCATGTTGCAGCTTTATCCCCTCTCGTGGTACACGAGGGCCAAGCAAATGATCATTCTACAGCGTGAGCGCTTCCGAGTAGTTGAGGAATGTGTTCGACGGGGGATGGTGATCGAGGAGGGGTGCAAGGGGGGGGGTGGGGGGTTGCTTTGTCGCACAAGCGTTGGAGGCCTGTAGACGTCATCCTGGCAGACAACGCCGAGGTGTACTTGGATGAGGCTGGACCCGCCAAGGATCACCTCTTCGGCTGCGCAGGTGATTCACGTGGGCTGTTCAGAATGTGATGGCCCAGTGATGGCAGACTTACTATAAAGAACACAAAGAGTCAAAGAGAGCAGTCAGCCGCAAACACTAGTAAGCAGTCACAGCCAAGCTGGAATCTTCGATGAGTGACTAGACATGGCGAGACCTAGGGCCTAAGGCCCTAGTCAGGACGGTGCAATGTTGGGGCTGATGGGGCAGCCTTTTGCGCCCCGGCCATGGTTTTTGGCCCATGAGCCGTCCGCACTTGCACACCCCGCTTGCAAGGTGCGTTGCTTACGATTGCCGAGAGCTGCCCTGGACCAACCCCTGCGAAAGATGAAGCCTTGGTCAAGCTTTCGGGGTCGACCAGCTGCTGGCTTCCTGTGTGCACTGGTGGCTTGGTCAGCTTATGCAGCGCTGGGTCGCAGGACCTTCTGTTTCACCGCAGTCCTTGTGTCCCGCCTGGCTCTCCTGATGAACTCTGTGATGTTCGCCTCTCTTGGGCAGCAAGCAGATGGGCTCATGGGCGAAAGTGGGATATCGCCTCTTCTGTATGATGGCAGTACAGCCAGCTGGTGGGACGGACTGTTGCTCAGAAAGTTGCAGAGCTCGAGGCCAAGCTATACTGCAGGCATTTGTGCCATCGTAGCGATCGTGCCTTGTTTTTTGCCAGTCTGTGCAGTGAGCGGCCTGGCAGTTGGACTTGTCTTGGTGTGGCTGTCGGTGGTTTACCGCGGCTACATGCAGGTAGACTTCTTGCACTACCAGTGGGATGCCTTAGCAATGGAACTCAGCGCCTTGGCAGCTATCGCTGCTTTGGCACGTGTACCTCGCTCTCCGATTGTGCGGGAGGGCTGTGCTGCCCTCTCCATGCACTGCTTTGCGCTCCTGGGCTTCAAGCTGATGTGGGGCTCCTGCTTTTGCAAGCTTTTCTCCAACTGTCCAGAGTGGAACTTCGGCACAGCCATGCAGCACCACCATCGCACCACATGCTTGCCTAAGCCTTTGGCCCGCACGATGCATCGGTGGAGCTCCTCAAGCAAAGTCTCCCAAGCACAGGTTCGGGCGACCCTCTGGGTCGAGGGGCCGCTCTCCTTGTTGGCGCTCCTTGGCTGGCCCCGGGGTCGGGCAATTTGTGCGCTGCTCTGGTGTGCCTTGATGCTGACGATTGCAGCTTCTGGGAACTACGGCCTCTTGACTTGTGAACGAATCTCAAACAGTGTAAACTCATGACAGGTGTAAATCAACAGCAGCAAGAGCCAGCAAGCATAATCCTCGCGTGATGTTGTGCTTGCTGTCTTTTCTGCTGTTTCTGCAGTTTGGCCTTCCTTGCACTTAGGCTTCTTCAACCTGCAGACCTGTGTGATCGCTGTGGCGCTGCTCGATGACCATCAGCTCGGACAAATGCTGGGCAATTCTGTGCTCGACCCGCCCATGGCTCTGCCCACCTGGTTTGTTCTGGACGGCATACCCTGGGCGACGACTTTCTGCTACTGGGTCTTATACACCGGGGCGACCATGTCGTCCCTCCACCGTATCAGCCGCGTGAAGCCCCCCGTGCTGTTCGAAGAGGCAGAGGAGCTACTAGCGTCGGCTCAGCTGTCCTGCCGATACGGTCTGTTTGCACGCATGACGACCACCAGAGATGAGGTAGTGATACGAGAGTTGCACCAACTGCCCCGAGACTTGGGGCAGCGTGCAGTAAAGGATGGACTTGCAAGTAAGGCAAGTGATGACACATACTGGGTGGAACTTGCCTTCCCTTATAAACCCGGCCCACTAAATCGGGCCCCACCTGTCTTGTTGACCCATATGCCTCGGCTGGATTGGCAGCTCTGGTTTGTCTCACTAGAATGGGCGCAGACTTCCGATACTCCAGCTTGGTTCCAACGCTTCCTGCAGTGCTTGCGCGAGCGGCGCGCCAGTGTCGTGCGTTTAGTTGCGCACAAAGGACAGCACCCAGTGCAGGAGCTTGTCCTACTGCAGTCGCCGAAAGCCACGCGTGTCGCTTTCGAAGAGTATGACTTTTGCATGCCCAGCCAGCTGGACGTCACAAAGACTGATGACAGCTGGCAATGCGGAGAGTGGTGGTGCCGAAGAACACCAGCCGCCAGCTCGCAGCGCCAGGACGAGTGGTCAGCCTGGTTTTCCTAGTACGGCCCTCCTTTTCGATGGCCGTTCATCAGACTGTTTCAATTCCAAGATAGCTGCGATAGCCTCCAGGTTAAGCAGGCCAACTCTCAAAACAAAGGACGAACACCAGCAATTTTGCAACGAGCTGTATCAGTATACTGCACAACCGCCTGAGTTCTGAACGCTGAACACCATTGAGCTGGATATTTTGGAGGTCTCAGGCAACTTTTGAAAGTTCTATCACCCCTGCCCTGCCCCCCACTTCAAAAATGCCGCTGTGTTGTTGGGGCTGAGTGGGTAGATCCGCAGGCTCCAATACCGAACTTGAAGTCCCTAGAGGAGATCTCGGACAAGGCAGCCGCAACCGAAACGGTAGAGCCAGCTGTGAGCAACAACGACGCTGCCTCGTCTTGGACAGGACCCGGTTCCTAAGCTGGTTCCGGAGCCGGTTCCCACGTCCAAGGAAGTCCTGCTGGACGAGGTCTCTTCTTGGTGTGTCGCTGTGTCGGTGTGTGTTCGTATTTGCGTGCGCGCCCGTGTGCTTGTTCTGAAAAGACCCGACAGCATTTTTTGCAGGCCCCCGTGGCGCCCGTGCTGGCCAGCGGTGCGGGGCCGAAGAAGCCGAAGAGGGTGCTCATGGTGGTTGTGAAAAGTTGAAGGGGCAGTGCGGAGTGGCCATAGCAAAGGGCTTTACCTTTTTCATTGTTTTGCCTCCAGAGGTCTGGGAGCTCGTGTTCGTCTTTGGCGGCACTTGCAGCAGTCCTGGGTGCTTTTGCAAACCCATGTGGGCTTGATTTCCCGGAGGGGCCTGGGACCCAGAGACCCCAAGCCGCCCAAGCCAAAGTCAGCTCATGATTGCAGCGCCCAGCAAGGCGCTCCGGATCCTGCCATTCTAATCCTGGGCCTACTCCCCGGATGATTTGGCAAACCCACAAGGTGGCATGATCCTTTACCAGCTTGGCCTGAGGACTCCTCAGTACCATCATCGCGCTGACAGCGGTGATGGCGACAAACCTAGTGACCAAGCGCGTTTCCAATCGCGTTTCCAAGTGCTAACAGGATGCTTAGCACCGCCTGTCGTTGAAAGCTCCCGGTGTACACATGAAGCAAGGCAACAGCAGTTGCTTCATGTTGCTTCTGGTGCTTGCGCTGGGCGCGCTTTCCCAACCCCTTACTCACAGTAGTGGACGAAGGGGCATAGCTTGGCATACTTGGGGGAAGGCACTGTGCGTACTCGTCGCATACTCTGCGCGCGCACTTTCTCAAGACTTCCCCCACTATCCAAAGCTACCCCCGCGCCTCAGGCCTTCTGCAGTGCTGCGTGTTTTGCTCAGCTGGCATGTTGTCAATGTGCCAAGTCACATGCGTCAGAAGAGGTCCAAAGTGCCGGGGTGAGCATGGCTTTGCATAGATGGGGGGGTGCTGGGGAGTATGGGTGATGACCGATGCTCTGAGGCCTGTCCCGCGACCGAAAGCAGAGGAAGCGAAGCGCCCTGTGACCCGCTTTCCTGCCAACGGCTCTGTCGATGCCACTTGCGTCGCTTCGGGTCGATTATGTAGAGACTTGGTTGCACAACTTGTTTTTGCACTTGAGCCACTAAAGGCGCCAACAGCTGAACAGCTGGCTTCTGCCCGCTCCTGACGTGGCCAATGAAGATCAATGAAGCATGGGCAGTATGAACAATGAAGAAAGCAACAGAATTCCCAAGGCCGGGCGACGACAGGCGCGCGCTGGTCCCGATCAAGGCCGGTGTCACGCAGGTAGTTACCATCACGCGCCTGTTTGCTTTGTAGATTGTAGATGTTTGCACTGTTTTGAAAGCTGGCTTTGGGATGCAGCAAGGAGCTCCGCGCGGGGCCCCGCAAGGGGCCCGGCCGGCGGCCGAAGAGCCGAGAACTCAAGCATTTTGCAGGAGCTTGACTCATAGATTCCATCGTCGCAGCCGCAGCCCTTAGAGAGATACTTTGGTGAAATCGGGCTAAGGCAATACCCTCCACATGGGAGTGCCCATCCGTATAGCAGCACCCTCAGTCAACACAAAAGCTTGAACTTCACAAGAATAGATGCAGCTGACATGGCTTTCCGATGCTGAAGTGGAGCACGTCTGTTCGAAGGGACACTTGCTACCACACAAGAAGCCTTTTGCATTCGCAACTAGGAAGCACTTGAATCATCCCAAATGGCAAAAAGAACCACCGGCACAAAGAAACCCAGCAGTTCTAGATTGAAACTCTGGAAACGGAAGGGCAATGTGGATTTCCTGCAAACTAACGGTCTTGCAAGTAAGTGTACACGATCAATAATTTTGGGATCTGTTGAGATCATTGCACGGGTTCCTTTGTAAGCTTCAAGTGTCAAGTGGCGCTGCGACGCGAGCTGAAGGTTCCGTGTCAGTCCGCGCTGCCTCGGCCGCATCCTTGCCACCGCCAAAGCGGCCAAGCCATGTTGGAGGCAGGAGCTGAGAAAGCAGCAAGAAGCAGCATCAGAGAGATCACGATTGGGAAGATGCTGTGGGGCTCCACCATGCTCCACCCCACAGCCGCAATGAGTCCTGTGCAGCGCAGGTGAGGCTGGAGCCATGTTTAGTTGGTCGCCGCGAGCTTCAGATGAGGAGGACACACTTTGTCCATGCCTGGCCTGGCCCCCATCTGCCGATGAGGGCCATGAGCGCAAGACGCAAGAACGACGCTCTCATGACCCCCTCCCCCCCCCTAAGGTGGTACCGGAAGGCATGGAGTTCGTCTTTGCAGTCCGCGAGGCGGGGGGGGGGGGGGGGGGGGCAATGAAGAGTCGGGAGCAGGCGGAGATTCAATTTGCAGACTGAATAATGCCACAACTGTTTAGGGTTTAGGGCTTGGGGTTTGGGGTTTAGTAGGGCTTCAAGGTTTTGGGCCCTTGACCCTTCAGATTTGGATCCACCTTTGTAGGGCATGGCAAAGTTTGGATGGATGACATCCTAAACGCCGGACCGCCGGACCAAGACTTCGGATGTCCAATAAGGGCCCAGAGTCCAGATTCCGGGGCTCTGCGAAGCATTCGGAGGCCTTAGCGTGAACCCTAGGCTACTACTTGCTTCAGACCTCCCCCCCCGTATATTCTTCAGAAGGGCAATGTAGGGGCTACTATCTTCTTTTTTTTATGGGGGGGGGGGTGTGCTTCAGCAAATAGTAGTAGGCTTCACGGCGCAGCGTCTTTGGATCAGCACATGAAGGTGCATGCAGGTCTTGTCTTGCCTTCTCCCACGAACACGGTCGGGATTCAGGGTGTAGGTTTAAACAGCGGAGGCGAATGCACATATCCGGTTCCCCTACTGCCGTTCAAGAGCTGGATAACGGGGCTTGAGCGCTAATGCTCTGATGGTATAAAATTGCAGGATCCTGGGGCAGGGCGCCCCCGACGAGAGCATCATGAGCATCAGCCGGGGAATTGTGGGGCATGGGCATGGGCATGGGCACCCCAAAGCGAGCATCATGACCATCAGCCGGGGAATTGTGGACCCCCAAAGTGACCATCATGAGCATCAGCCGGGGGAATTGCGGGGCATGGGCGCCCCCAAAGCGAGCATCATGAGCATCAGCCGGTGGAATTGTAGGGCATGGGCGCCCCCAAACGAGCATCATAAGCATCAGCCGGGGGAATTGTGGGGCATGGGCGCCAATTGTCGGGCATGGGCGCCCCCAAGGCGAGCATCATGAGCATCAGCCGGGGGAATTGTGGGGCATGCCTTCAAATCCTCAAACTCTCCCTTAGTTTTCTTGTCAAGCATCCCCCTTCTGAAACCTGGGGCCAATTTTGTGGGCACTCATTGACTGGTGGTTGTGAATCATTTGGTGGGAATTCTGGGCCCCTCGAAAGGGCACGTCGATGGGGCAATGTGAGGCACTGCAGAAATGATGTGGGGAATGCATATTGTAACCATCATGGTGCAAGGATCAGCCAGGGGTGGAAGTGCAAAGGCCATGTGTAGGCGAGCACTGAAAATTAGTGGAGCAGCCGGTCCAGCAATCGCTGCAAAACGTTGAATTGCAACCCCGGTTAGCCAGACTAAGGGGCTGGCATCCGTGCACCTTGTGGAAATTTCGAGCCTTTGACGCCTTTGACTATCTTTGAACCCCTCAACCGCCAGATGTGGCCAGGTCCTTTCAGAAGAACGGCAAGAGCGGCGGTGCTCAGGAAGTTGGCAGCACCTTGTAGCAGCAAGCCTTCCGTCCCTCCAAACCCCAAGCTTTACGGATGGGCGATTTTGGGCGAGGCTTTCCTTCAGTGTTGTGGATTTGGAGGGCTCCGCGCTGAGCACGGCCCTCAGGGCAGTTCGGCTGCCGTTATCCTGCGCAGCTCGTGATGTGGTGCGCACCGTCGAATTCTGTTCAAGGCCACATCATTGTCAACGAGTCTGGGTTCGGGTGCGCCGGCCGTGCAACTGCTCTACTGACTCTACTGCGTCCGAATGTACCTAGTGCACCTCTATGCGCTGGTTTCCGCGGACCCTGGCATGCTGACATTTGCAAACATCTGCAGCAGGCCGCAGTGCGGCATTTTCCTTCAGATGTTGGACAGGGAGCCTTTAGCTTCAGTTCGCCGCGGTCGCAGAGAATTGGCCAGTGCAGATTTGGAAAATGAGAGAATCAAAAAGTGGTAGCAGCGTGTAGCATATGTGCTGAGAAGCAGTCCACTGAGGCACCGACATGCTCTACGAGAGGCCGCGGCGTCTTCCAGACATTTGCTTGCCCTCCGGAGAGGCAGGGGATGGCTTGATGAATGCTTTTTGGCTTTCTATCTAGACTGTATTTGGACCCCTTAGCCTGTCTGGCTTGCTCTTGAAGTCCTCAGAATTTACATGAGGTAAGCTTGGAGCAGTGGATGTACTGGCCTTCCCCTCCAAAGCAGCATGCCTCACGAAGCGGAGTCAAAGTGATACAGCATAGGTGCCACCGTGCAAAAGCCCCGACTTGGGAGGTGTTCGGTTCTCTGGACAGAGAGGGGAGCCGGGAGCCGAGTGGTGACGCCATGTAGGGACACG